AAGATGGAGCCGGCGAAGATGGCGTCTCCCAAGAGCGCGCCCAAAGACGCGCAGGTACCGGGGGGGCCGGGTCGGGCCGGGTCGGGTCAGGGCGGCGGAGCTCAGCGGTGCCTCTCCGCCCTGCAGGTGATGGCGCAGATCCTGAAGGACATGGGCATCACGGAGTACGAGCCGCGCGTCATCAACCAGATGCTGGAGTTCGCCTACAGTAAGCGGGGCCGGGGGGGCTGTCAGGGCCTGGCACGAAAAGCGGCCTTGCCCTCGGGGAGGGAAAGGCCGAGTGGGGAAGGGAAATGCCGACTTTAGCCGTGTTTCCGGGGGGTTTCCCTTTGTCAGTTCTTGAAAATAATCGTGGAGGAAGCGGTGTTTTTGGTGGCAGCTGGATGGCATAGGGGTGGGAAAGATTTCTTTCTTTTAACCCAGCCTTAATGAGAGATTCTGTTTTTCAAAGGGTATGTGACTACTATACTGGAAGATGCAAAAATTTACTCAAGCCATGCAAAGAAATCCAGCGTCGATGCAGATGACGTGAGGCTGGCAATCCAGTGTCGAACAGACCAGTCTTTTACATCTCCACCTCCAAGAGACGTAAGTAAAACTGGGTTGATAATTGCAGAATGTGATGAATTACAGGTGGGAATGTAAACGTGTCTCTCCAGTTCTTGTTAGATATTGCAAGGCAGAAAAATCAGACGCCGTTGCCGTTGATAAAGCCTTATTCTGGACCCAGACTTCCGCCTGACAGATACTGCTTGACAGCTCCCAACTACAGACTGAAGTCCTTACAGAAGAAGGTAAGGGCTTTGGGTAGGGAAGGATTCATCTAGCGCCCGCATTGTTTGTCAGGAATCTTGTTGGAATTGGAGTTTTTCACATCTCTGAAGGGTGCGTGTGGGCAAATGCTGACCTGTGCACATCAAAGTAGTGTTTGAAACTGTCAATGGTCTTTATATCTAGGAATCTGCAAGTAGTATTACGGTTAGTTAGTTTCAAATGTGACATGTATTAAAAAATGCATCTGTGAATTTTTTAGCATTAAATCAAAATCGTGGAGTTGAATGTCAGATTGTAAAAGGATAAAGTAGGGCTTTAGTATGGATATGAAAGAGTATTTTGTACTTACACCTCAGATGTTTCTGTTCTAGAGGGAAGAGAAACGACTGATGTTGCTTGCTGGAAAATATGGAATGTCTGGATATGTAGGATTTCGTATTTATGTCCCCCGTTTTAAAGAAAGAATTTTAAAGTTGAACTTAGGTTCCCGATATTGACATGGGACATGCCTTGGTACTGGGTGTAGAGCAGAATAACAGTTGGTGTTTAAAATGTTCTAGTTATTCTTTCCCGTAGAAACTAACCTGATTGACCTGAGTGCTACTTGCCAGATCAGCTGCCTGCCGATCTTTGGCCTTGTGTCACGTCCAGGAGCTCTCCTGTTCACACTGGTGACATTCACACTGTGAAGAATTTGAGAACATCTGTGTTGGCATACAAATCGTGTGTTGTTGCTGTGAAAGAGGCTCTCTGCTGTTTTGTAGAAAGAACCGTTTCTTTTTTTCATTTTAAGAGCTGTTAATTTCTAATGGGTTGCTAAACTGAATGTTCTCTCTCACCAGGTTTCTTCCTCTGCAGGAAGAATAACAGTCCCTCGCCTGAGTGTTGGTGCTGTGAGCAGCAGGCCCAGCACTCCTACTTTAGGTAGGAAGTGTCTCAGTTGGGGTTTCCATGTTGATTTTATGAAGGAGAAAAATAAGGAGGAGTAATGTAAAGCATGCTTCAACCCCTGAGGATGTGTGGCGTGCCACCTGATCTTAGTATCATCATTTGACAGTATCAGAAAAATTAATTTCAAGAGATTACAATAGTCCTTGATACATATGTACATTACTGACCTATATTTTTATTCCTGCATTTGTGATAAATTCTATATTTGAAGAGACAATTCAAGAAACTTAGCAGAAGTTGGAGGGTTTTCCCCTCAGTGTAAGTGCTACACTGAACTACAAATAGCACTAAATAAAACCAATTTTTAAAAGGTTCACAAAATTTCTGACTGAGCACGTGCACTTACATATCAGTGTGTGTATTTGTAGCCTAGAATTTTACAGGTCTTGAGTAAATGTACAGTTCTACCTGAAAATCTGACTCCTGTATCACCAGTATCAGTATGTTCCTGTTGTATTCCCACTACTTTGAAAATAATGGGTTCCACTTTGAAAGCAAATTTACGAGTGCAAGTGTGTGTGTGTGTATATATATATATTTTTTTTTTTTTTTTTAGATTATTTATCACTTGACTAAGCTGTTTTGAATTTTAGGTACACCTTCAGCACAAACAGTATCTGTCTCAACAAAAGTTGGCACTCCAGTGTCACTGGCTGGGCAGAGGTTCACCGTACAGATCCCGTCTTCTCAGGCAGCAGTCAAGTCAGGTAAAATACAAGCCGTAAAGATAAGCAGCACTTTTTGGTGTTCTTTTTGGCAGAACAGATATTAATTTATAGTAATAATGTGGGGGAATTACTTCACCTCTTCAGTTTTTTAATATTGCTAAAGTCTTGTGTCTCCTGACGTAAGGCAGGCAGTCTTCCCTCTGGTAATTTATTCCAGTAGCTTCTAGTTTTAATTCCTATTTCGTGGTGTTGACCACAATATTTCAGGCGGATTTCACTACGCCTTAACTGCCACCTCTGTGCTCTCTCGCTCTCTTGTGCTCACCCCACTAGCATTCTGTCTGCTTTGCTGTCAGGATCATTCTGGGGTTTGCATGCTTCTTCATTAGGTTGGAAGTTTTGTTTCAGTGTTGGAAAATCAACTTTTTTCAAGCTTTTTATTGAATGACTTCTTTTTATTCCTCCCCCCCCCCCAGCCACACCAACTACTCCCACGGTTCAGAATGTTCTAATTAATCCTTCGTTAATTGGACCAAAGAACATTCTTATTACTACAAATATGGTATCACAGAATACGTCTAATGAATCAAATCCCTTGAAAAGGAAGCATGAAGATGACGACGACTATGATAACTTGTGAAGAGACTGTCCAATCCTCTTCCGTTCCTCAGTGATTCATATTGAGTCTGAGAGGGGTTTTGCCAAGAGTTCTTTGTAAACGGCATGAGAGCGTGTAAATACTCTGCTAATATGCAGTTGGGTGTGGAGTGAGAGAGAGATCATTGCCTGTGGAAAGATGAAACAGTGACTAATCTTTTCCTGAGGCCTGTAATGTCTTTTGACCCTCCGTAGCAACGGTGAGCGCTGCTCACTGTTACACAGCACAGTTTTCGTGTCTTTTCAGTCGCCTTATTTCTAACAAACAGACAGATGCGTCATGTTGCTGAAGCTCGGTGAGCCAGGTGCTGGTAGTACTGTCCCCTGCCAAGTAAAAATAATTTTTAGAAAACACTGGGTGCTGTGACAGTTTTCATTTCAAGTAGCATCAAAAACAGAGTCCTGGGTGAGGTGGGACGTAGCTGGGGCGTATCAGCCTTTTTTTTTTCCCCCAAATACATTTGCTACTTTGGTGTTGGGTTAGTCTAGTTACATACACTGGTCTCTAAGTGCAGTTTCAGTGTGTGTGAAGATTATCTCTTAACAGTAGAAATACAGACCAAAGGTAGAGGAGGGGCTTTCTGGTGGACACCTACTTAGGCTGACCTCCGATATCCATCAGTCCATGGTTTCTGGTGGCCTGAACACTTAGACCAGTACCACAACTCAAAAGTTAGTGAAGAGTTAAAATCCCAGCCAAGATTTGTTCTTTATTTCCAAGAAGCTGCACCTCTGTCAGCAGCTTGTGCTTGTGTGTGTATTGAGTCATGTGTTGCCATCGTCCTGGCACGTGGTGGGATCTGGCGAGGGACAAAGCGCCTGAGCTTGACTGTGAGGGTCAGACTTGAAGCCTCAGGTACCTGTAGATGCTTTTATTGTGTAGCAGGAGCCTAAGTGTGCTCTACTAAAAGGCTGAATACATTTGATGTGTTTTTATATATTAATAAAGAAGTGGTGTGTTTTTGTAACAAAGTCCTTGTTAAATGCTATAGCTTGTTACTACCTTTCCTAAGGCCTCTTCTGTGACGTGACCGGGGCTGGGAGTCTTGCACTAGTTCTGGCTCGGTGGTGAATGCAAAAACCGCTGTTTCCCACCGAGGCCTTTAAAAGGCCGCAAGTAATTGAATGTACCGGCTGTTAAAATGATACAGAAATGACTGCTCCCTCTTCGCGATGCTTCCTTCAGCGCTGAAGTGGACCGAGGGCCCGGGCTGGCTCCTGCCACGTTGCTTTTGGTCGGGTTTGTCTGAGGAAATGCCGACCAAAACCAGCTTTTCACTGGGGGAAGAGTATGTGGGCAACGTCTCAGCGGGAAGGTTGCCACCAAGGGTGAAGAAACACACAGGTGCCCGCGCACGCATGCACATGGGTCTGGGTATGCGTGTATGGCAGGTATTTTTTTTTATATATAAATATATATATTCCCATAACATACTGCCAGCCAGCTTTGTTGAAAGAAAATAGCCTTTACAACTTTGACTATTTTTCAAAAGTCTCCATTAGTCTGGGGGAAAAAAAAAAAAAAAAAAAAATCAGTCGGGTACTTTTACAGGCTGCATAAAGGATGTTTTACACAGAAGCCTTTATACATATATAATTGTGTTTGTGTATATATATACACACACAGAGTATGTATAGACTATAATGTATATAGAGAGAATATATAGTAATTACACATGCACATAAAGACAGCCACCCTTTATATATAATATATATGTATATATCCACTTGTATTATACACACGTATTCATGCAGACACTCTTTTACATAATCTGTGTACTACTTATACTCTATACAGTCTCAGACACCTTTTTTATATAGATGTATAATGTATAGAGCATACAACATTTGACAACATCCATAATGTAGTTTTTTTTTGTATTATATGCATGCACACTCACAGACAGTATTCTTACATATATAGTATTCAAATATATAGGTATAAATAAAACTATATGATATCCTCTCACATATACCCCACTTCTGAAAATACTTAATATATCTATGTATTTGGACATACATATGCATGTAGGGTTGAGTTTTTACATGCATGCTCTCTTTCCTATTTTATATACACACATACATTTATACTTTATAAATGTACACACAGTCCTAGACACTCATTTTTCTCTAATAATATCTTACATACATATAAGAAAACATATTATATAGCATATTTTATTTTTATATATGCCATATGTTATGTATTATGTATCATGTAGTCTATTATTTATATTTGGTATTATATAACACCTAATCATGTTGTTATCTATTGCAGTATATTATATATGGTTATGTACAGAACTTCTTTTTATAATTATATAGTACATATATATACACATCACACACCCTCGCACAAGCTCCTATATGTACACATTTCTATTTGTACTCTGTACAGGCTCAGATACCCTTTTTTATATCTACAATATAATATGTAAAGTACACTGATAATACCCACTATATAATGCATAGTGTACGTATATGCACCCACCCTCTCTGACAGACTCCTGCTCTGGTGTATATTGTAATACTGTAATATATATGTGTACAGAAATGATACTGTCTCCCTATTTAGATATTTAGGAACCACCACGTGCACTCGCTGTCACATAGCTGTTCCTTTATGTACGTAGATACATTTGTGCTCTCTCCACACACAGAGAAATGTTGTTTCAGAGAACCTTTCTATATATACACAATACATAGCACATAATACATAATATTACTATATAATGTGTAACATACATCTATTATATATGCTAGATAATATATGTTACTATATAGTGTATCTAAACCACATAGAAACCTATGCTTTTACATACTTTTTTTTAATATTCTATGCACACACAGTCTCAAGACACCCTTTCACAGGGGGTGTGTGTGTATATATGTATCAAATAGATATTTAATATGCAATATATACTATATAAATATAGATCTATTTAATTATAATTAATTTATAAAACATACAAACATGGCTGGACTTGATGCTCTTAAGGATCTTTTCCAACCTAAATGAGTCTATGATTCTAGATTTATACATTTTCTGTAAATGCAGCATCAGACGGACTTTTATGTGTCTAAAATAACTTCATATAACTTCTTATATTGCATATAACATCATAATCTATCATATGCTAGCTATTGCATATATATGACACATCATATCCACACCCAATGCTCACAAACACCTATTCTTTTATATATGTAATATCCTAATAGATGATATATAAATAAATTTATGTTCTCTCACACACATACTCACTTGGTCACAGTGACATGTATTCTTGCATACTGATGCTCCAGAAATCCACACACAGTCTCAAACACGCAGAAATGCATACAGGTATATTAAAAAACACATATTTTATACATAATGGAGGGGGTTGTTCATCACCAAAAGAAAATGAAGATGCTTGTCTTGATTTAAGCCTGAGCACGTCCCCGAGCATGTCCCATGGTGTGGAGTGTTGGCATAACATGCGCTCTGGCCTGCCGGAGCACGGCACGGCTTGGCACGGCCCCGCACAGCTCCCCACCCACCTCCTCCAGCACACAGCTCCCAGCCACCCAGGTGAATTATTTCATAACCCTGTCAGCAAGTAGGGCAAGTTTGCTTCAACCACAGGCATTTGTAACCCTGCGTTTCACTGCACAAAGATTTGTTGCCGTTGTGCTCTGTCTTTGTTCTGTAAATACAAAATGGTCCTGACTCACCGTTTCCAAGCCTCACCTTAAGGATGGGAAGGTTTGTGGCAGGAGATGGATGCCCTTTCGCTAGGCCAAGTCCTCATACCTTACAAACTTGTTTAAATTGCTTTGAAACAAACATCTTACAACTGTCAGGGACTTGTAGACGCTTGGAAAGTAGAAAGACCACTGAAGTTAGCTATTTATGTAACAGCTCTTTATCAAGGGGGACAGTGTCTTGGCTTGCAGTTTTCACCAGCATCACCAGCCTGTGCCCTACAGAGCTCCCAGCACAGTTCTATCCGCATACAGTAGGAACCCCACTTCTACTACAACTGCACAAGTTTTCAGAGGCCTGACTGTACTAAACCACTCCTGATATAAGCTTGTTCCTTTACAGAGACCAAAGGGAAGATTACATTGCTCATTCTTGTAGATACTAGGAGAAACCACTCAGTTATCCTTTGATGTTTTTTAAAGGCATGTAGCCACATAATTGTTAATATTGCACCAGGCCCAAAAAGATAAACATAGAAGGCTCTCAAAGCTCAGGGAAGGTACAGTGCTAATGCAGCATCCATGGGTGTAGGTCTGCATTATCACTATTAGCACTGGAGGAAAAAAAAATAATTTACATATGTTACTTTTTGTGACTCAAAAATTAGGACATAAGGGCAAGGAGGGGAAAGGAAAGCAGCAGTACCCTGCTGCCTGCTTTTGAGGATGCTATGTCAGAAAAAGAGCTAAAGCTAGTCCTAGAGGCAGTCAGCACAGCAAGAGCTGGAATAGTTTTCAGACCAGTTTTAACTGCAGAATGCCTGCATGGTTCATCATACACAATAATGTAAAATTACAAGTCAGGGTTTTTTTTGCAGTTACTTTATTAAAGCTACAAAACTAAGTTAAAATCACTACAATATTCACATACAGTTAACAAGTTTCTAACTTCATTGAACAAGGACAGACCAGTGCCCCAAAGGGTACAGAAGCACTGACCATTTCACATCTGCTAGCTAGTTTAAGACTACAGACAGTGCCTCCTCAAGATTAAGCACCAGTGGGTCTCATGTGGCAGCTTGGAACAGTTCCTCACACTGTATTGGAGGAGACTGTGCCCAGATTTCCAGTGCAAATGCAAAGTTCTTTCAAGATTATGGATTAAACTGTACCCAACATGTTCACAGCTTGGGATAAAGGCAGCAGCTGGAATGAGCAACCTGGATAAATCACCTCCACTCACTACAGAAATTCCAGAGGAAAGTTTCTTACCATCTGCCCAAGTCCTACACATACAAATATTTACAAAGAATTGGACACAATCTAGCAAGAACTAGTGTTTGACTCCCTTCCTGGCAC